TAGAGGGTTTATAGACATGAGTGGACTTTTGAGCACAAGACTTTGCAGACATGTTTTGAGGAGCTCTGAGGCGTATTTTTTCTTGGTAAAAAGGAGATTTTGCACCTTTAATGTAGCTCTTAATTGTAAAATGTTATCAAAATAAATGAATGAAGTGAGGTATGCAGCCTATCAAAAAAATCCAATAAATGAATGTGGAAGTATGAAGAATTCTAAGATGTTTTCATTTATGTATTTGTTTTTAAAAAACAACTCTTCTTTTCAATGCAAGCTGACTATTACTGCAAAAATGTGCATTAAAACTCTCTGGCCTTGATGCCCCACCAGACGAGAGAACTAAACAAGCTGAAGGCCACAGGTTGCAGCCCAATTGAGACAACCAATAAAGAATATGCAACTCTTGTTTTACAGGCAGAAAGCAGCAGCATCGTCTAATATTGGATGAATAATGGCTGCTGTAAAGATGCCATAGTTTGTTCTTGCTGCTGAAATACCTGTAAGTCACCAAACTCCAGGTGGACAGTGCATTATCAAATGCTCCCAGCTAAGATATTCAGCTGTTTCACATTTATCACAGAGGTGGAGGCAGCGCTCTATAGCAGACATAAATAAACCCCATAGCGTGTGGCCCTGACTGTGCTCCATATTCAGTGCAGGGAAATGTGTTGTAAGCACTATTTTAATGATTCTGTTATTCTGTTATGAAGCCCATCCTGCGTGTTTTACTGTCTTCCCCTTCTATCAGTATTCAAAACAAGTTTGTGGTGGTCTGTTTATGTGTGGTGATATTTCAAAATGTCAAGGTCTGAACTTGTCGTGTCTGTTAAGTGAGGTGTTATTAATGGTAGCGGTACCAGGCAGAGTCAGGCAGCCCAGACTGAAGGATAGGTCATCGACGGCCAGGACCCCGGAGGCTTCGCTGTCTGCGGGAAGTTGCCCTCGGATTACCACCTAGTAGACACACAACAAACATTGAAATATTCCCTCAGTCACCTCTATGTGTTCCCTTTGATCACAATGTGTTTGTATGTACAACCTGCTGTGTGTAATACTGATCAGAGTCTGCAGCTATTCAATCTTTATTTCACTGTATTTTGGCTAAATGCTAACATTAACATGCTTGAAATGACAATAGGATAGTTTTCAAGTTGTACTGTTTTGAGGATATTCAGAGTTGGGGGAGTTCAAACAAGTCTGTTAAGGGGGTAAGGGGTCAATTGTTGTGTAGAGGACCTTGCCAGGGATTTTAAATATAGGCTTCTTGTGCAAAAGTCTTGTTAGGCCAAATGTTTTTACATGCATAACATATTTTGCGTGAAACTGTCCATGAAAGCTGCTTCAGGTGAAAATATCCAGATAGTTAAACAAATTTGAAACCACCTGAAATGCTTCTGCTGAAAACAACAAAACATTTAACTCAACTGGCTCTAAAAGAAGGAGATTAATGGAGGAGAAAGTGTTTGTTGGCAAAGAATTGACCTCTCTTTAGCCCGGGCTCTGCTTCAGACATGTTTATAAAAGTGAGCTGGCTGCAGTCGGTGACAGATGGTAAAGGCAGAGAAGAAGAGAAGGGGTGACACGCTGACACTGAGGATATAGGAAGGACATGAGCAGCAGGTTTCACAAGACTCCAGATGGCCTTAGAGGGGTCCAGTTGGGTCAGTACCCCCCTCACTGCGTGTAAACGGCCCCTGCTGTGCAGCACATTTCTTTTTGTGATGACTTGATCAGTTTTAACTGAAAACTTATTCTGTGTTCAAACTTATTCATGAGTTTTACACGGCATACCCCAACATGGAATTAAGAAATGTCTACAAATGTATTGTTTTTGCTCACCATACTTTTGCATAACATGCTCCTCAATGTGATAAGTTTCACATGGTGAAGCACGGGCCAGTTATCTGATGTAATAATATACATCCTTGTAAAATGTTTTGATTTCTTGGCCACATTGAGGCAGTAAATATTCGCTGTGACAACATTAACATGTGCAAATATTTCAAGGTGACCAAGCTCACTTTTTAGAAAACTTCTCCTTTTCCAGCCACTAGGTAGTAATTTAAGTTGCATATCCACTTTCCTCTCCTTTAAGCTCTGTTCTTGGTCTCCAGCAGCCTCTAAATCAGGGGATACACTGTGCAATGAGGCCAATTTCGATGCAATTTTGAATTCCCAATCACACAATCATCTGCTTGCCAGACGGTTCTATTTCATTTCTGCCATTTTTGGATTTTGGGTCATACAAGAACAGAGCATCCAAGAGCCGACTACCCAGCTTCAGGGCTTTTTTTGCCCGATTGCACCTGCACAATCTGTCAGACAGCAGCTGATAGCACCATGGCGACAGCGGTTATGCTAGGTTTATCTGCTAACCATAACCCTAAAGCTAATGACATGAACGACAAAAATGGGGGATGGAAACAGCTGCGGACCTCCATTTGCCCGGACACATTTCTTTTGATTTAGCTTGCTAACTAGCTTGTGTTTGTTCAAAGTGTGTGTTCGGGTTAAAGAGCGAGATGCACGCCTTCTGAGTCCTGGAGTTTCAGTACATGGCAGTAGATCTAGTGTTTGGTTATGTAGCATGTAGCATGTAGCATAGCCTCATATACCGCCAAAAATATCCCAAACATAAAGGTTACAATATCAAACTGCAACATCTTTGATAGTAACATGTGAGGGTTACAGACCTGAAAAAGGTGATTGCTGGAAAACTTTGTCACTTCCTGCAGCCATGTTTCCAACTGATGGCCTGAGGAGACTTTCCACACCTCTGTGCTCTGACCCGGAGTTTGAGTCTGAACCAGGACCTGAAGATCTGCGTTTTGTGCTTCTACATAATAGTAGAAACTCAGCTGTGGGGGCAAGAAGGGAAGAAAGATGTCACCCTTTGTTGTGGAGTGGTTGTTGATTTTTTTTTATCTCGAGGGTTTTGTTACCTGACAAGTCTGACTGGGCAGGAAGACAGGACTGATCAGGTCTGCTGTGGTTCTGTTTCCTCTGGCAGGTACAAGAGACAAGAAATGTGCTGAAGGAGAGAGAAGGGAGAAAAGTGTCGTGTTACATGCATCAAAAAAGTATGAATAAAACAGATAAGGGGGAGGCTGTGAATCCAAAATGTACAGAGTGTCCTACCCGATGTGTTGTTGGTGTGGTCATGTTGGAGTCCCTGCACCTCAGTGGTTCTGGTCCATCCTGGTCCATTCTCTGAGCTCTGGATCAGGTCACAGAATCCCTCCTCAAAGTCACATCTCTTATATCCTGAACCTTCCAACAACAGAAAACACTTTGCACTTGTAATAACAAACAGATAGACACACATAACATCTATAATCATGTGAAGAAACGGGCACAGACAGAGTACAGTGTCATTTGTGAATGAAAAGATGCTCAAAGCTCGACATCTCTTTGCTCATCTTGTCCTGTTTGTGTGTCAGTATTGTTTTATGGTGGAAAACACATCATCCTGATTTATCTTAAACAACATGTTCCACATAAATAAATCATAAAGTCTGTCCTGTGTAAATGTGTCTCTGAGTCCTGACTGTCTACAATGAGGGAGAAGCTCGAGTCCCGCTGGCTGTGTTGTTGTCAGAGCCGTGTTTACATGGACGGGACGGCCGGCTCCTCCCCTTGTGTATAAAAGCTGTTTTAGTCAAGAACTAGAGAGAAGAAGAAGAACATACTCACTGATTATTTGGATGTTAGTAAGAGTTTTTAGATCACGCTCATTCTGTCAATATATGTGCAAGGTGAAGCTATAAGCTAACTAAAGAGCGCTAACATTAGCATGCTAACACAACAATGCAGGCCACGGGCAATCGCAGCTCTAGCCAAGAATAGTTTTGTCTGCCACTTGAGTTTAATGGTGCTTTCTAACTGATAACTCCTTTGTGTGAACACGACGTGGTTGGTTGGAGGTGTGTCTCTGGAGGAGAGCGGAGGCTTCAGAATAGCAGAAGTGTCACCAAACAGCAGTTTGTTTTGGTTTCATTCTGGTGCTCAAGGGCGACATCTACTGGATCAAAAAGTTGCTCAATTTACCTTTAAATATCAAACGTTTAAATCACCTTAACTCTTTGTATTTAAAGTAGCATGCTGTTAGTCGCTGTATCTGACATCTACCCCATGGCAGGGGTGACGGGTATATAAAATAAGAATAAAGAAACGATCTGTTCCCTGATGGTTATTTTTGCTTTTGTTGGTGATAAAGAGGCGTCACTACTAATTTAGTCTGTTTTAATATGAGCTGAAAACGACTCACAGGAGCTTTGCTACACCCTGTGTGGTTAACTCTCCATTCACTTCCCATTTACAATTCTTATGAGGCTTGGGAAAACATTTCACATGAACATTCACCTGCATTACTTTATGATTTATATCATCTTAATTCTTACTGTCGTTACATTCTCTCTGTTGAGAAAATAATCCTGCAAATGTTTGTTTCACTCACAGTCCTTCTCGTCGCTGCCGTCTCCACAGTTGTCTGTGAAGTCACACTCACAGAATCCCTGAGAGCAGGTAAACTCCCCAGGTGAACAGGCCCCAGCCGACACAGGCGTGAACACCAGCAGGAAGGCCGACAGAAGCCCCACCGAGCCCACAGCAAACGTCATCAGCCTGGTTAGCGTTTTGTACCCTAACACCTTCTTTTCTCCTCCGAGGGAAGCATTTTGTTTTCAGTATTTAAGGAAGAGTTTCAGCCGAGGCAGAGCGTCTCTTCACGACCATCGATCAGGTACCTGTGTTTGAGCTGTTAGCATGTTGTAAAAGGTAATAAATGTTACTCAATACTGCACTTTGTCAGTGTGTGTGTGTTTGACATGGAGCCAGGCCAGTACAGACCAGGAAGGAGGGAATATGTGTCACAAAACCACCAACATGTTGGCCGTTTAAACTTTCAGAAATGGGTTTAAGAGGCAATTCTGCAAAACAGATTTGTACTTACAGTACTTTCTAAAAAGGTTTAAGGAATGGTTTCAAATTTTGGGAAAAATGCTAAGTCGCTTTATGTTTAGCACGAGGTGATACTACAGTGAAAACAAACAAATTAGCTTAGCTTAGCATAAAAACTGGAACCAAAGGGAGCAGTAAATTATTCACTATTGTGTTCTTCAACTTTGAAATCTTTTGTTAAGCTCTAGTTAAAACACATGATTTTAGGCCATAAAGGAGAGGTATCATCTGAGGTATCCCCCCCCCCCTCCTTTCCATCTCCTCCATCGTGGTTGCTGTGTAGGCTCGCCTGGCGCTGAGTTAGTCATGATTATTGACCTTTGCTACTTATTAACAAACGTCAGAAGAAGTCATTGGACTCTTTTTGTTCACTCCCCAGGCTATCTAAGGAAATCATGTTAGGAGCAATAACTCCACCTTCACTCTGGTTTATGGGAGTTCAGGTGTCTTCATAATGGAAGAACACACCAATCTGAGACCAAGACTAGAACATAGAGGACTTTTAAAGCCACCTACAAAAACAAAACTTCAACTGAAGAATCAACAAGATTTAATACTTTCAGATGAATTACAAGATGTTGGATTAAACACTTAACAAGGGAGATATGATCCTAGTTTAGGATTATGAACTGCGTTGAGAGGATGTGTCCAGCGGGCCGTAGCTCTCCTTTACAGTGAGACATAATTTCATTTCACAGAAATCAATAAAGACGGGCCTTTAAAACAGACTAGCTGCAAGCGGTACACGAGCTCATGTAGTTTAGATGAAATTAACATTGAGAGAAGAGGCGAGCTCCACAGCTCCATGAGGGGACGAGGGACCGATGGAACAAGGAGAGATCAGGGTCCTTATTGACTTCTATTGGCAGCATAGTGAGAATGTAGAGAGTGAAGCTGGCACACATTAAGAAGAGGTCATTTTTAAATACAAATACAAAACCCACACTCAGTCACTTTTAATAAGAGTGTAAGGAGATGAAAATACCTGGAATGGGAATTTACAGTTTGGTAAGTTGGTACATAAGAATATACACTGAATATTCTGACTACATTTTGTCAAAACTGCAGCTCAGCTGATCTATTTTTTTAAATCTATATTCTGGTATGAATCTGGTATGATACAGGTTAAAAAAAAAATCATAAATATTCTGGACGATCTTGCTCGAGGCTAACATGCATCAGGAACATGTCTGACTTTATTGAGGATGTGGACACAGCTCCCACTTTGGTCATACAGGGACAGGATGACTCTAAGCAGCAGCCCCCGGGACCCCCCATGTTCCTACAGTACCCCCAGACAGCCAAACAACCGAGGAGACATTAAAAACATAACTAAACAAATATCAAACATGACCGTTACAAACCTCACAAGAAATTCATTTTCAGTCCGCCTCTCATTTTAGAAAAAAAAAACACTCTTGTGATTAAATTCACCTTCATGAGGTCAAACCAAAGCAGCCATTTAACTGACTTAAATAAGATAAATGTTTCATTGAGGCTGCCGGGGCTGATGTGACCAGAACAACCATTTATCAAAGATTTGAACTAATCTTTTTCAAACACAGTCGGGCACATATTAAACCAAAAGATGTGATTAAATCCATTCCCTTTTGCACACCTCACTGATTGTCTTTGACCTCAAATATTTGGCCCTGTGTTCCTGTTTCAATTGAGCAAGAGCATGTGGGAGGAATCATTCATATACATCGCACATATCCTGACTGGGGGAAAAAAATCCCATTATTTCATAAGCACACAGGGGGCGCATTGTGCTGAATACAAAGCCTGGTTATACAATGAATCCCTGCCTGGTGATATTTTTTAATGCAGAGCCCCCCAAAAAATGTTATGTTATGTTAAAAAAATGTTATGCTCTGTCATAGCAAAGACACATACTGGCACATTTCTTGATGGGAATACTTTACATTCCCAGACATATGTTAATATTCAGCCACAGGAAAGCTGTTGAATATTCTTTCCGCCTGGTATTGAAAATGAGGATGTGGGACGGAAAAAAACCCCAAAAACTTGTGTTTTCTCATCATTCATCTTCATAATCGCTTTTTTCCCCATCCTGGTGCTTTTTCACAGCTTGTTAATTAGAACATATTGACAGCGGGTAACATTCACGTTGCAATTTGAATGCATGCAATCTGCTTTCACAAACCGTACTCAAGCTGTAGCGGTGAGCCGCACCTGCTAATTTCCCTCCAAACTGAATCCAGTGATTGACTGCTGAGTGAAGTCATCAAAGCAGCTGGTGTTTAATCTTCATCGTGTACCTGAAGGAGGCGCTTCACTCAGCACCTCCAACCAACACAGCGTGAGTTTAAAGTCCCCCCCCCCCCCCGCTGTGCTCTGCTACATGTGACTGTGCACAAAAAGGGCAGCCCACAAATTCTGGACAAATGAGCTGCATGAGAGGAATGAGATGTAGACCCAGAATGCATTTCACACTTGAGTCTTCTGCATCCCTTTCACAAAGATCCTTATCCTGCCACAATGCTGCCATCTGCCAGTCGCTAAGAGGCACTCAGATAACACACAAACAGGGCTACTTACAGGAAGACGGTTTTGTATAGCTGGAGTGTGTCATAAGAGAAAGCTTTTAGCCTCCGCAGATTTCATTAAAAAAAAAAAAAAGATCAGTGGTGGAGGAATGATTCAGATCCTTTCCTTCTGTGAATGTGGCAACATGAAAATATTCTGCATCCAATCAAAAGTCTTGAATCAAAAAAACTATATTGTTGGATAATTTATCATAAAAATAATGAAATAGTAGCATTGATAAGTACACACCAAAGTAACCAGAAGCACGGAGTGTGACTCAGAGGCCCAAACCTTTGGAGAAGATTCGGTCTTAATTATGCTGCCAGTCGGATTGAAGTCCTGAGGCTGTTTGTTTTACAGTTTTTGGTATTTGTCACAAATGTCAGTTCAGTCTATGTTGCAATTCATCAACTTTGAAAAGTAATGTCTGGGTGGCGTGAATAGCAAGTCACCGGTCTTTTTAAATGTTTCATTCAGTGATGAAGCATCTTTTTAAAAATGCAACTCAATCAGCAGAATGCATGAGAGGACAAGTCTATATGACAGGAGAAATGTCATGGGCGTCCTGGCTGCACATCTCTGAAATAGAATTCATCATCAGCAGCGGCAGCGCTGTAATTATATCTGAGTAGGCAACAGCGGTCCAGTAGACGTCAGTAGGAATAGGAATGAATAATTCTGATTTGACTGACTGGTTGGGAAAAGAGAATTAGGTAGAAATTGGATTCTAAGTGCGGATATTTCTAGTCACGGATTAAAAGACAGCAGGAGGAATTGCATGTCAAATTCAATTAGAAGGGATTAGTAACAAAAGCTGCAGAGGATGAAAATATGATCATTCAGCAACACAGAAAAAAAAGAGCAATACTTAAAACACTTCTTTGCTGGCCCGTCAGATCTTAAAGGAGCAAACAGCTGCATAGATTTAGTGTTGTAGGACTCAAAATCTCTCGGTCTCGTCTCAGAATTGATATAAACAATTTGTACTCAATTTGTCTCAAAATGGGCGGACTACGGATTTTAAATCAAGACTGGTCAAGACCACCACTAAGAGGAAATTTGTCCAATTCATTACTGTGATTAGAAGGAAAACACCTCTTTCTAAAAGAACAGAAAACTTTGTTTCATATGTTGTTTTGATTTAATCCTTGGTTACAACTGCAATTCCAGGTGTTACGGTCTAATGAATGACACAAGATGATGATTTTTCAGTGATATTTATGGGTTTGGTCTTGACTCGGCCTTGACTTGGTCTCGATCATAAGGTCTTGGTCTTACTCGGTCTCGATCCCTAAAGGTCTTGATCTTCACTCGGTCTCGATCCCTAAAGGTCTTGGTCTTGACTCGGTCTCGATCCCTAAAGGTCTTGATCTTCACTCGGTCTCGATCCTAAAGGTCTTGTCTTGACTCGGTCTCGATCCCTAAAGGTCTTGATCTTCACTCGGTCTCATCCCTAAAGGTCTTGGTCTTGACTCGGTCTCGATCCCTAAAGGTCTTGGTCTTGTCTCGGCGCGGAGCACTCTGGTCTCGGGTAAGTGGTCTTGACTCGGACCTATCATAATTACAGGTTTAAATCAGTCAATGCACACATTAAACTTTGTCTGTACATACCATCAATCTACATTTGTCAGATTTAGTGTTTGAATGTTTTTAAAGGTGTGTATCTTCATGCACAGACTCTTTGGAGGTATTGCTGACTTATAGAACATGCAGAACCAAAACAAACAGGATGTTTTCTCTTTGCTCTTTATTGCACCAGAGCCCCAGGCGACTGTTCTGACTGCCTGATGAGCATATGGTGTTTATTTCACCAGTTTGTGTAAACAAATGACTTGGTCCCAATTCAGAAAACATTTAATTCTGACAGATTTGCACATATGCAGTGGAGAGCGATCCAAAACTGTATTGTTTAATAAGCTGCCTGTTTCACAGTCTGAGCATGTGAAAGTAACAAGGCAATGAACGTAATGGAGGGGAACTAACAATTTAAAAACCCTTCAAAGATATCGTGAACTGAATTCAGCTTGTTTGTTCCAGGTGATCCAAAAGCTCTTTTACTCTCATGGTTTTTTTTTGAACAGAATTAGCATGCTAACAATTGCTAAGTAGCAAGTCACATACAGTTAGCCTTCCTGGAAACAATTGGTATGTCATTTTCAATAATTAGACACTGTGAGTATTTCTGTCACAAATTCTGGTTCATTTAATAGTGTGTAGTGTCACGTTCAATAAAACTGAAAAAAAAAAAAAGACCGAAATGTACGACCAAAGGAAAACA